GCAACTGGGATGCAGCTGAGGCAAGATTCAGTTGTTGAGAAGAGGTGAGGCTTGAAAAACAATTGCATCCATCATCCTGCCCTCCTCTGCTGGCTGGATTTAGGCAGTTCTGCTTACTCATGTGGCATCTCCATCCCAAGAAATGAGCTGTGGTGGTTGTGCCAAACGCAGTGTACACATCTACCCAGCTAAGCTGCCAGCTTGTTAACTTGAGTTTCTGGAAAAAGTCTGGTCACAGCATCATCAGCTTCTGCTGTCACAGTGATGGTCTAACCCAGCCTGGTGCTGAGAGACACCTGGGACATATTTCTACTACACCATGGCCAGTACCTTTGCTTTGGTCCTCACATCCAGCTCTCAGCCAGAAAGGAAGGGTGTAACAAGAAAAAAAGCAAGGCTTAGCGCTTGCCAATAGGAGCTACAGGGATTTTGCGTGAATTTTAGAGCAGAGGATCAGGAAACCCTGCAGGGTGATGATGTTTCATGCTCTGTGGCACACCTCCTTACTATGCAACTAGCCCTGTCTGGCAGCTTGGAGAGTCAAGAAGAGCAGTACTAAGCAAATATGTACCTGTTGGACTGAAGGGAAAGAAAGCCATGAGCTAATAAACTGCAGTGTGCTCTAACTTCTGACACCTGTAAGTACTAGACTAAGAAACTGCAAATTCAGGGGCTCAAGGGTATTTTTATCTGAAGTCAGGAACAGTTGTTTCTCTAGTTGTTTCCAGGTTGGACACCCAAAAGTGGAAACCTGAGAAGATCTGGGTCAATGCTTTGGGGAATGCACAGACAAGGACCCGTGAGATGTCCAACCTGACAGAACTAGAAACAGTAAGACACAACCAGAGCTCAATGCAAAACAGTCTGTGTCAAACTGAGGGTAAGGAACTCAATGAAATAGACCCAACAGGCATAGATTACTTGACCTAATAGGTATATTTTAACTAAGGTATAACCAACATGCTGTTTATAGCTCCTTATTCTTAGGGTTCATTGAGGTCACAGATTTCTGTCCCTAACAGAGACTCAAATACTGCTGCATTTTGAATTTTACAATCTCACTGAAGACAAACACATTTAATGACTTTTCCACTTAATTAAAATAGTTCTTATTTAATAAGATATTAGAACAAGTTACTTTTTGCAGCATGTAATATTTTTTTTTCTTAGAATTAACACCTTTGATGGTACAAAATGATTTGTCTTGCAAAATTCATTACATAGAGGTTTCAGTAATTTAATTCCACAGTTAGAGTGTTTTTGCAATCCTGCACCCACTTCTGCTTTCATTCACTTCTGTTCAATCCCACAAGTGCTAATATATGGATAAACCAGCTTGCAATAACTTGAGTTTGCTCTTTATATCTGAAATGGCTGTACTGCTTTAGGCAATGGACCACTACATTCCATTCAGATGGAATTTTTATTTATTCCTTTCTCTCCTTAGCTTGCCTTATGCTTCCATTCCCCAAATAATTAGCACAGTGTAACGTGTTTGTGGTACAGAATAACACCTGAAAGCTTCCTATTAATTGCAACAGTTAAAACAGCTTTCTTCCCCCTCCCCCACTGCCTTTTTTTTTTTAAAAAAAAAAAAGAAGAGTAAGATCTGGCATTTACTACATACTGATAAGCAATGTTTATCTACCCTAGGGTACCTTTGCTTATTCTGTTTTGGGTGGGTTTTTTAATTGCATTTTCCCACCAGCTCTAAACTTGTTCTCTGGCTGCATAATTTTCCCATGATACATTTAAGATGCATCTGCTATAATTAATATGATGAAAAACACAAGCTTATATGAAAAACAGCTTGTAAATTTTGACTAATTCTGCAGCAATTACATAGGTAGAATGTCTTATTTAACTATGGGCTTTGTTCCATAGCATGGGAGCCACCACATTTTTATAGCATTTAAGGGTCATAACATCCTACCAATTCAAGCAAGAAATAGATATTAACATAGATCTCATCTATGTTAAACATATAGCATAATTTAACAAAACATCTATGAGACTGTAATAATTTTCTCATAACACAGGTCAAATCAGCCTCCTACGTGGTAAAAACGGTGATTTGTTTCCAAGTCTTAAAACCTCTCTGCAAATGGGGGTTTTCATTTTTCCTGGAAAACTGTCTGGCAGGGCAACGAGCACTGCATGCCTGTAAGGTCATCCCTTACCAGGAGGATTCATCAGTGAGATCCAGCTCACAATTTGTTATGCAGTCCTACTGTTCTCTCCCCATGCCAGCTGGGGCTCTGACAGGGGCTAGAGGGATACCTGCAGGTGAGGGTCCATCACTGTTCCCAGAAGCTATGCATCCCGCTTGTGAGCACAGCCAGCTTTTGGTCTTGGGCACGGTTATTTTACCCCACTGAAGTATGTGGGTGAATAAGGAACTCTGGGCCAATTTTAATAGGCAGAAAGCATCTTCAAATTAAATTCTCCTCTTAATCAGGTACTGTCGTATTAAGACCAGAATTGATCCCAGCAACTTCTACTCTTGAAGCACACCAATAAATCCCTGCTGCTATGGTCAGCCAGCGTCATTTTCTGCCCCTTTGGACAAAGACATATTGCTTTTTCATGCTAGAGAGCCAGAAGGCCATCAATCACCTCCCTCAGCGGTGCTACCTTCCAGCTCCACCTTGCCACATACTCTCTGCTAATAATTAAATTGTAGCCTGTAACTTGCAGAGCAGCCACTGAGGTCTCCTCTGAAGAACACACTTTTGCCATGTTACCAGGGAGGGACATCATTCACGACCAGATGAGACACTTGTCAACTTGGTGCTGGTTTTTGATTAAGGAGCAGGACTCTGATGTCTGCTCCCCATGGGGCCCACTGTTCAGTTTCATTAGGTAGGGTGCTGTATTCACTAATTACACCAAAGGATGCTCCCTATGGAGCCAAAAATTCAAACAACTAAAGACAGCAAGCTACAAATCTCAATTACTGCAGAAAATCGTTTCTGCCTCAAAACTCTCAGAATATTATTAATTATTGTGCGTACAAAGGTCCTCTTTAGGGATCCTAGTCACTGGTCAGAACACTGCTCTAAGAGGTCCTGCACGCAACATCGTTGCCTCAAAGATCGTTCCACCACCAAGAAGACAAACAGGTCTTTGAGGCATGGAATGCCTTTTTGTACAAGACACAAGATAAAAAATTGGCTCAAAAGCATGCCTACGAGCAGTGAGTGCGAGTCAATGAACGATAACAACCCCCATTTATTCTTAAGCCTCCACTTTTCCAAAACAGCAGCTATTCTGCTGCCAAGAGTTTAAAATCAACTCATTGCAATAACATAAGGAATGTCATAGAAGCCACATCCCAGATTTGCCAAGAGCCACATGGTCAGCTCTGCCAGCAGACCAGAGCGAGACAGTGTCACCAGGAAGAGCCAGGTGAGAATCAGCTGGAGGGATGAGTTGCAAAGGTTCACAGGTGCACACCTGCCTTTGCCCTCAGACTGGAATGATCATTAAAGCAGACATGCCAGGAAGCTGTTTGTTACATCAGAGTCAATAAAGTGGAGCCAATTTGGCTCTTACAGCAGTGATACTTTGGCTGCAGCCAAATGATAAAACATGACCTGAGAGTCTGGAGGGCACTTGTTAACCCAGAAACAGCCATCAGCTAACAGCACACTGGCTTGCCACTTCAGAAGCTTCCAGCCATAGCTCTTTCCAATCAGTTGGGTGAGCATAGGAAGGGTCTTGCATCCTTTTTCTGCAAGATAACACCAGCGCTACTTGTCTAATGAGGTTTGGATGAAATGTGCAGACAAGGCTGACCTACTTGCAGTTTGAGAAGAGGTTCGTTCAGCACCAGCCTGTATCTGCACCATGCAGTAGGGATCGCCCTCATTCACACCAACGGAGTGGAAAGCTATCTGCATTTCCCAGGTGCAACCTCTGACTTCAGTGACTCAGGTATATCTGTTAATTCCAGACAGGTGATAACAAGCCAAGCACCCATATCTTATGAAAATTCAAGCAGTTGTAGGAAACTGGCAAAACCAGACCTGGATTGGAGAATGCCATTAACCTGTAAATACGTGGATTCTGCTGCAGTGCCAGGCACATGAAATGAAGACACTGCAACACAGAAAATGACTAGGCCAAAATCTTTTGGGCTTCAGGGCCTTCTCCTCTTCTTTCTATGGAAGCTGAGATGGTCCTCAATCAAAGACAGCCAAGGCAGCTTAGGAAATTGAGTACCATCTCAACCATTCTCCTGTTCTTGAATAAAATCCCAAATGTGTGCTCTACTCCCCAAACCACAACAACAACAAAGAACATCTAGTTTCAGGAGTAATTATTTGGCTCCAGTGGTAGCCATGTGGAAAGCCAGAATTATACTACAGACCTAAATGCAGGTGAGGGAAGTAGCTGATCACATACTGGCCTCAGGTAGATGTACAGTCTACACAAGACGGTATAAGAAGCTTCCCTTTTATGTGCAGCTCACTGTCACACAGTGAGATGAAGAGAATGTAACTTTTCCCCCCTAACTTCAAGTGAGAAAACACTTTTGAGTCCCCACGTGTACCTCACACAAACATGTGTGACAGTGTATCTGCAGCTGCTGCAAGCAGGACACACAACTTGCACCCACCAGGCAGACTGCAGCCTTCTGTCCCACCACCCAAGGTACTCAGTGCTCCTGCAGTGAGGAACCCACAAGTAAGAATCCAGTCAGACGTTCTGCACCAGTTACCAAAGGATATGGCAACAGCAAGCTTGCTCCCTCGTTATCCTCAGCTCAGAACTGCCCAAGCCAGGAGCTTAAGACAGGATTTGCACTGGTGTCACTATCTCCTGTTTCACCATGCAGCAGAGGGAAGATTTACACCAGATGGTTTCTACTTTTAGAGTTCCTGTCACACAACAATTTCCCTGCTCAGCTCCATTTGCAGTAAGAAAATGGTATTACACATTGACCACTTCTCCTGCCCGCCCAGGGCGCTGGCAGCCTGTGAACCTGCAATGCCTACCTTAACGTCCACATGTGCCATCAGGACTGCAAAGTTGGTTAGGTGATTGCAGGAGCATGTGGTGTGCGTCTTGTTAGTTGTCAGGAGGCGACAGCCCTGGGTGGACCAGTACCCTGTCATTGTACGCTTTGTATAGCTCCAGAATGAACAATTCGGGTTGAAATTTTCTTCTGACTGCTGCAGGGAAGAAATTAATAAATGTAATAAAAATAATAGGCTCTCAGAGATTTCTAAATGTGCTACTGAGGCACTTCGGAACTCTCACACTTTAATTTTAGATAAATAATCAGCAGTGGTTTATACATCAAGTATTACTTGCCAATACCAGAGAAAGTTAGATTGTTGCTGCTCTCTTTCCTAATGCAAACTTAGTTCTTTGTTCTTGATTAATTTCAGGCATTGACTAAATCCGGCTCCTCAAAACCAGACTGCTTCATTTGCATTGCAGTGGAGAGAAATTAATTGCTTTAAGCAATCAACTTTTGCAATGACTGTGCTTGGCTAACAGGAGGACTAGCTGTCCTCTTTCACTGTAATTCCACTTTCCTCTAACATCCCCTGCCACCATGATAAAATAATATTATGGTCTGCTCTAATATATTGGTAGGTTTTAATTAGAGAATGACGTGTGTCAGCAACTGAGCAATGGGCATCAGCTCAAAGGAGACACTTTCTTTACTTCTATTAATGCAACATAAAAGAGACCTCCTCCATAAATAACACAAAGTGCAAAGGAACAAAAGTATAATTCAAAAATCTAATCAAGGACTGCTGGGGGCCTCACAGCAGCCAACTTTTCCATCACTCCATTTCAGAAACTGAAAAAAAGAGAAGTGCTTTTCGAACTCACGCACCTTGATGTGCTTGACAGTAAACACCACAGGATCAGCCAGGTAAACCTTATTGCTGAACTCTTTGTTTATTGCTGCAGTGATGACAGGAGAGTTGACAATGACGGAGTGATTAGTCGACATTGCTTCTGTTCCCAACTTCATGCTGGCATTCTCCGTGGAGAGATACGTGCCCAGGTTGTTGTACAGTACAAAAGCCACCCTGATTTCACCTAGAAGAGCAATAAGAGGTTAGATATCCAAATCAACTCACTGGGGTGGTGTTTTTCTAGACGACAAATCTCTTCTCTGAACCAGCTTCAAAACTTCTCTGAGAAAATGCGAACGGACCAAGATGTGGCTTATGAAAACCCACCTCCTGCCAATCTCAGTGAGCACCAAGAGGTGCAACAAGCAGTCTATGTCCTTCTTCCAAAACAAACTTCTATCAGCAAACAGATCAGAGGAAGACAGGAAGAGAAGGTGGGCTTATTTTTGGCACCACCAGGTGTAACTGGCTCCAGGAAAAAAGAGGCCAGGTGGTCGATTTCTCACCTAACATCACTTTATTCTCCAGGCTATGCTTGGGAAACATGTTTCGTGCTGGCCTGTTACACAGATGTGGTATAAAGCTATAGTTTAGTCTGTTAATAAATTAAGACTCTTTCAGAAAAGTGTAGGGACAAATCTGAGAGAAGAAATCAAAACCTTTCCAACACAGTTCCAATCTCACATGACGGGTAAAACAAAAATGAAGAAATTTCACTTAAAAATATATTTATTTTTTAATTTGCCAATCAGATAACCAGAAAAACACCCTTAGGAAGCCTGCAGAAAACCTGGGCTACCAGCCAACTGTTTTTAACTGAAACCATCCAGTTTGCCTTCTGTTTTGCACATTATTTCACAGGCTATAAATAAGAATGGAATGTGATTTGTTTGCCTCTATTTGTATTAGTTGCAGAGAAGTATGTTTTTGATTCCACAGGAATCACCACAGCTTCTAAGGAAGGTGAAGCACTGATGACTCCAAAGATTCCTCCCAACCTAAATCCTTCTATGATAATTTATTTCTAGCTCTTTAGTTACCTCAAGGCATGTGCCAAGCTGGTGCAAATTGATGGGGTTCTTCTGAACTGACCAGAACTCCAGTGATATCATGTTTAGAAACACAGACTTTCCCTTCACTGTTGCCAGCAGAGTTTCTCTTTCCCTACAAATCTTCAAAGCTTGATAGCAGAGTCAAACTCCTGCCCTGATGGAGTTTTGCTACACATCTTGGGTTTAGACTGTCTCTAAAAGAAATACTTCTCTTCAAAACCTATATCCAAAGGTGCCAAACGTCATCAAGGGAGCCAATGGCAAAACTTTCTTTTAGAACCATCAGACCAAAATTTTATTTTGACAGTTGCCTGAAATTTTTGGAGGTTTTAACACATCTGGTCTGGCTGTAATACTGCCCTATCACTCCACTTTCTTTATTCTTTACTCAGAGAAGGGCAAGGCACTGGAACAGGTTCCCCAGAGAAGCTGTGGATGTCCCATCCATGGAAGTGTTCAAGACCAGGTTGGATGGGGCTTTGAGCAACCTGATCTAGGGTAGCACCTCTGCCCATGGCAGAGGGGCTGGAACTAGGTGATCTTAAAAGTCCCTTCCAACCCAAGCAGTGATCGAAGCCTGTACAAGACTGCTGTCCCCTGCACACAGATTAAATTTTAAAGGAACTCAGAAACAGGAGCATATTAGGCCAATCAGTAAAAGCTTATGAGTTTGAAATTCGTCTACAGCTGGGCTGTAGAGATCAACAAAGGCGTCTGCTCAAACTCCTGATCTGAAAATATATGGTTTTGCAGGATTAAGACCATTCACATCTAACATCATCTATAATTTATGCTGTATCAGGAGGTTCATAAGATACATTAAAGATTTAGACTCATAACAGTTAATCAACTTTTTCTGCCATGTTGGCTCATTATTAATATTTGCTACTATTGTTTCTTCCCTCTACATTTTCAGATAGTGCCCTGCTGTGAAGCAGTTTACTCAAACAAGCTACTTATCCCATCTGAAGCCTCCTACTGCAGACAACAGCAGTTAAAAGCACTTTTCTGGACTCAGTGCTGTGCCCCAGTAGCCACATAATTTAAGTATCTGATGCATTTTTTTCCATCACAAAATACTTTTGAAGGCGGTGAATCACTTAGCAATATAATACATTCCCAGTCAGCTAAATGAGCTTGCAGTCAAGGGCATGAGCGACCGACACTACCATTAATTTAAATAATAACACAGAGATTAATACTACACTTGCAATGGTTAAACACAAAACAGTGCCTAAGGCATGACTGGCTCATAAGGCTGGCGTGACCTGAGGTGCTAGACCTACCATTTCGACCATTTTGCTTCAAGGTATTTGCTGACAGCTGAATGGTGCTCCCGTGGCCCATGTTCTGGGGAAACTTCAGATCTTCCAGATTCCCATCTGTGCTTAGTCTCGCAACTTCCAGCTCTGTTTGCAAGAGAGACCGACACTAAGAAAAATCTATACTGAAATAATCTTCAACACGGTATTTCAAAGCTACGAAATGGTGTTCCAGACCATCTGAGAGCAGAGGAATCAACTTAAAATGCTTCATGCTAGAATGTTTCTGGGCTCCTATTTCTTTTTAAACCTTTGCCCTGAAGAAGTTTTAAATTTAATTATAAAAAAAAAAAAAGGCAAATAAATTCTACTCTCTGTGGAAGACAAAAGACAACCAGTTTTTGTAAACAAGAACCTCAGGATATTAAGGACAATGGTTAAAATGAAAATCTGAAAATACTAGTTCTTTGCCACTGGCAATTGGTACTTTGTGTAAATGTTATCAGTGCTCGGGATCTGTATTCAGAGAAATAGAAAGAAGAGTTGTTCTCATTTTACATATGCACAGTGGGAGTGCTGGTGCTTTCCATCATGCTTGTTTTTTAATTAAAATCAACAATCAGCTGAATAAAGACACAAATTTGTATGAAATGAAACACAATTGCATTACGATGAACAATCTCCCTGTGAAGCAGTGCTCTCATTGCTCTAGCACAGATTATACCCTCAAAGCCAAGAGTAATAAAGGCAGGTCAGGTGCTCATTTTCCATGGGATTTCAAGGGTAGAGAGCTGCCTTATTCCTTTAGGCTCTTTCAGAAAGACTTTGAAGTCCTTCAGAAAGGGACAAGACACAGCTAACAAACTGTGCTCCAATTAATCTAGGGGCAAAGACCAAAGCCAGGCTTCACAGCCTTTACTCTTCCGCTCGCTGTTCTTGATATTCATGGGATCTGTCCCTTACGGATGTTGTCAGTGTTTTCCCGGACGATGTCTGTCTTCAGCAGGTTGTCAGCCAGCACAAAGGCACTGTCCTCCACGGTGTCGAGCAGCTTGGTGGCTGCGCGCTGCTGTTCGCTTGCATTCAGGTCCCTCCACGCGTTCAGAGCCTGTGGCTGCAGGAGGTTGTTCACCGTCTCCACCATGGCCTGCAGGGGAGAGGGATGGAGTGAGAAAAGGCTCTAGCCAACCTAAAACACCATTGAGACTTCTGACATATGCTCAGTCCCGTCCTCCACACACATCAGTTTATAGAATAATGACAGCATCTCCTTTCCCCCACCCATTGGGGCAGCCTGCAGTGGAGCTAGGCAACATTTATCCCATCAGTTGGGAGAGTGACGAAATACTGACTTTATTCTAAATGCAGGCTGGGAATAGTGCTTTTCTGCTTCCATAATCAGCAGCTCTGGGTTTAGAAAAAGAAGGAATTAGGGTGGGGTGGGGAGGGAGGGGCAGAAGAAAGATGAGGATTAAGGAAACATGCAGGAAAACAGATTTCAAAACCCACTGTGAAGCAGGTTACTGTTAGCTGCAGCACCAGAATTCAAGAGTAGGTCTGGGGCACTCAAGGAAGGTATTTAGTATCTGCACAGGCTACACTCCTTAGAAAGTTTCCCACCACATAAGCTCTGGCAGGCAGTCATGAAGACACAGAGATAGTTTAGTTATGCCATTTCATCCAGAGAAGCAGCAGGTGCCCACAGAGATTTAGATAAGACGCTACATTTCAAATCACTCAATTCAGAAGGGAGTCAGCCCCAGGTAACAGCTTCAGTCCCTCCTACAGTGCACCTTCTGCCCTGGGGCTGCCACACACAAAGAGTTCTCCCATGGATAACTCCCCACAGGTTAATCTGGATGCACACCCAGGATCACATGAAACAGTACTGGCCTCATAACTGCAAAATTACAGCAATAGAGCCTACCCAACCTGAAGATTTTTCTCATCCTAAACCCCCCGCTTTGTTACTAACCAGAGCTGACTCAATCACTTTCCATCTAACATTTTTTAATGAGACCAGCTGTACCAGTTGGTAGAACCAACTGTGCAGAGAAAAGGGAAAAAAAAAAGTTACTTTGATCATGCTTTCTTCAGTTGGTTAGTGTCTACCCACCAGGCAGGCCTGCCCCACAAAGAAATAGCTCCACTGCCAGTTGACTGTAGAAATCAACCTTCCTTCTGAGAGGAAGCTGCTGTTCTTAATAATTTTCTGTATTCTGAACATGTAGGCATCAAACCTACAACTCTGTTCTGCAAGCCAATGACAGTCCCACGGGACTTCAACATTTTGCAAGCCTAAAGTGTACTCTAGGGGCTCACTTTCATGGAAATACTTCATTATTTACTCCTGATACTGTTTCTAAACCCACCAGTGAAAAGAAGTTAAGGCACAGCACATTCTCCAGCAGAGCCCTCAGGAGGAGTGTTACAACAGCAACATGTGTCACGGGGATTGCAGAGCGTCCTGACTCAATCACTAGTCATGGTCAGATAAAAATGAGCAATGGGAGAATAGGATCACATCAAACTAGAATTCGATTTTACTGCTATATCCAGATCACCTTAAAAAAACTTTTCAATTGCAGCAAGGTTCAAGGAGAAGCAGAGACAGTTAGAACTGCCACTGCTGGTGCTTGTGTTTGGAAGGTTTCTCATGCCGTCATGTTTGCTACTGGGAGGCTGCACCATAATTGCGCTCTTCTAACAGCACAAAGCTCCTGCTCTCCAAGCTACATTTATTCATGATCAACAAACTCATTTGTTCTCACACCAAACCTCTCCTGTACCTTACACAGATATTCCCTTCCCTTGGCATCTACTGCCCTAGTCCCTTGATTAAGAGATAACATTTCTCCTGAGCCTCAAAGACTGGTTTCCCAAAATATGCAGTAACTCACGGTTCAGCCACTAAAATGGCTGAAAATCTTGTCTTCTAGTGCTATTGCTGTCAAGCCTTTGCAATACAAGACTGGAATCCCTTACTCCTTTGCTCTGAAGTGGAACTTAATAATCATAAATCAATTTCTTAAACTGATTATTAAACTGATTTTCCTAAATACTCTAAAAAATCATCTTAACACATTTACTGTGTACACACTATAAACTGGTTGACATTAATAGCCAAGAAGAAATAGTAAAAATCCATAGCATTTAAGTGTGGGTATTTTCAGTGTTTTAAAATCTGGAAGCCTGATCTCTCTAGAAAATCTAAGAAAGTTCTGTAGTATACTTTGGTAGCTTATCTTGTCAGAGGCAAAAAGGAGGTAGCATTCTTTTCCAGTGACCAAAAAGCTTGGCTATACAATACGGTATTTTTGTTTAAGACCTTTTCTGTATGGAAAGCAGAAAATGAGGGATTTTCTACCCTTTCAGTGTTATCACAAACCACAATTTGCCTTACTTCCATGTAGCTTGGCTACTAATGGTGTCTTTAATCTCTGCTAAAACAACATCCCAGATACTTTTATCAATATCTGAAGAGAGGAAAGAGTCTTTGCAGCAGATTGAGCTCCTGGCTGTGGATGGAAAGGTAATGTCTATTCATCAAAACATGAAACACATGCTGAAATATCTGTGTTACAGTGAAACATCTGCTACAAAAATTTTTCACCAAAAATTTTTTTTCTAACCAATGTTTTTTTTGTTTTGTTTTGTTTTAAATGTGTGTGCACGTGTGCAGGCAAAGTTTGAGAGAGAACGCCCATTAAGCCTAATGTGCCACTTCCTGCACAATGTGCACTCCCCACCCAACGGATCCATCCTCTTGGGCTAACCTGAGACCAGCCACTTCACCGTCACTCTGGGGTCTAACACAAAAGCTCCAGAAAGATGTCCAAGGACTTTGGATCAGGACCTTAGCATGTATCTGAGCAAAGCTGGTAGACTGTCTTTGTTGGCATTACATCCGAGATTAATTTAGTCCGGAGCTTTTCCCAGAGGGTCACTCCCGTCACCTGTCTCAGTGCATTAATCAAGTGTTCCCCACACTATATTTCTGAGTGCAGCACTTCATTATGGCCGAGTGCTGCAAGCTGAAGCCAAGGAGATGAGGTGCTAATGAAATGTTTGCATTCTGGACAGGAGCTGAGGTAGGTGTTTAAATGAAACAAAACAGCTGTTAAAGCAACAGTGTCTTGTGAGACACAGACGCCAATGGGGAAAAGTTGGGCAGGGGAGTGGGAACTGTGGGAAGGCAGGCACACATGACAAGGATAAGCCTGTGTCTTTGCATTTAAGCTGAGCCCTCATTGTTTATGTGGGTTTGGCACATGGTCCAATGACTTTCTGGTCTGATGAAGCTCCAACATAAAAGAAACAGCTGTGCCAAGCTCCCAGGTCTGCCTCTCAGTGACCAGCTGTAGGAGAATTAGCCCTGATATAGGACGTTTAAAATGAAGAAGGCATGAGATAAGTGTGCTTGGGAGCTGACGGCTTGAGAGGTTTTACCTGAGGTCCCTGGTGCTTCTGATAAAGGTGGGGACTTCCAGAGGAAGACAGGAAAGTTCTGACCTAGTTTCATCCCACCTTATTTCAAGTATTCAACATCCAGCCAAGAAGAGAGCTCAGATACTCAAGTTTCTCCCCCACTGAAAGTAGAAGAAACTATGGCAACTATAACCCCCATTTTTGTGCCCAAAGTCACATGAGATTATACCTATCTATGGAGAACCCAACATCTATTAAAAGATGCTGCGTGACTGCTTCACTGAAGACCCTCTCCTTGCTTCCCAAGCTACATTTCCTCTGCCGTGCTTTTCTTCTCTTGCCCTGCCTGATCATTCCTCCTAATGCAGCTGAACTGTGAGCCTCATGCAAAATAAAAATGTGGGGCTTGGAGACCAAACATACCTCAACATCATGCACAGCACGGCAACAAAGCAATGCTGTGGTCGCTTGGGCTTAATGAATAGGCAACACAAGCACACAGGTGCCCCAGGAGAAAGACACAAGTAACTCAAAGGACATGAAGGGAAAGCTATCACAAGGCATAACTTGCTTGTTTGTAGCCTAAGATCAAATGAGGGAAGAAGGGCACGTCTGAAGGGAGCCAAGAACAAAGCATCCATCTTTCTATCCTGAGATACGTGGGTGTAGCTGTATTCTGTGTGTGATGTCAGGGTATCTACACATGCAAAGCTAAACCCTCTAATTACAAGCCTCTGAAGAGCAACCATCCTGGGTGGGTTGGAGAATATTACACGCAGTGGACCTCTCATGTCTCCAGTAGTGACTACAACTGGACATTGAGAAAAGAACAAGAACCTGCCAAGCATATAAGACAAATCCCATGATGGTGATCCCTGTCATTATGTGGTTATGTAGCACCACAGACTGTATGTTCAATGCAAATAAATGTTAATAAATTGCAGAGGGAGATTTTTTTCCCAAATAAGGGCATATGCTCACGGTTTCTTGATTCTGTCCTGAGGTTACAAAACGGAAACAAAATGTAAACCTTCCCTCTCAGACACTTACAAATTGGTATTAAAAGATGTATTGTAAAATGGCAACTAATTAGGAGCCTTAGAGTAATTATACATTACTAAAAGGCCAATTGTACTCATCCCATTTATTTCCTTTGTGACAGCTGCTTCGTTTTGTAAAACTGAATTTTGCTTGTTCCTTTATTTTTCCCTTCTCCCACTCTAGAAATACCTGGTGAGAGTGTCTGGCTATGTGACACACTGTTTAAACATAGGAGGTGAGTAATCCAGTGATACCACATCCATTTATTTATCTCTCACTGTACCAACATCCAAGGCACTTCTCTTTAACAAAAGCAGATTCTGTAATGTAAAATCTGTCTTTAATTGGGAAACAACACTGAAAATCACCAGGAGATTTTAGATGTACTAAGCTCATTGCCAAATTTGGGACCAGAGTGCATTGTGTATGGTGCTTAAGCAAGCAACTCTAACCTTAGAAAACCAGCAACTCTCCTAGAGTTAAGACCTCTTTAAACCTTTATTGTTCATTTTGGCCTCTTGCTTAGCAGCTGATGGAAGAACGAAAACCTCAACAAACTTACAAACAGAGAAAATACTGCTTCAAGGCAAGTGAATACCAGCAGGTCCTACAGGGAATATTGGTTGAATCCTTCTGCAGAGTAATTTTCAGATATGCAGTTTGTCCTTCCTTACAAAG